TAAACAATATCTATTTATGTCATTGTAATGGGTATTATAAAGTGCGAAAAAGCTTTTGCCGCGATTTTCATTTTGATCTTCAACAAACTAGAAAAATTAAAAATCACAGCAAAACCTTTTTGCACACATGATACCCATTTCAATAACATGTATAGTTTTATTCAATTTTACTCAAATTATTAAAAAGCAGCTCGATAAATTTACCTAATCACCTTGTTGCAGGAGATTAAGTAACTTTATTACCCTACAATGAGAAAAATTAGGTATACAATTTGAAATTTTAATAGCAGGGTGAAAAAGTTACTTTTTCGCCCTGTTGTTGGGCGATAAAGTCACTTAATCACCCTACAATCTGAAATATTAGGTGTGATAAATTCCATCAAAATTGAATAAAATAATTAAGATTCATATTATTTGAAAATGCATATTCAATAAATAAGAATAAGAGAATTTGATCTGATAATCTAATTTTCTATTCTTCAAATCATCTAGTTAAAACATCAATATCAACATTCCCTAATTACCAATTCCATATTGTGTCATTTTGAGAGGATTAGATTTTGAACACAAAAAACCTCTATATTTTTGTAACCAGAATTATTCAGTGCATTCACTGCTAGAAAATTACACCTATGCTATAAATTTGCACAAATCATTTATTTCAATATAAACTGAGGAAATTATTGAGACCTTTCCAAGGAGGATTGCCAGAAATAGAGAGAATACATACATTTGGTTCAATTTCTTTCCTATGTATTGTACAGGTTGTACAACATTTTGAAAAGCATGGTACTCTTGAAGCCATAATCTGATCAAGATTGTGGACGACTTTAAAAGTGTTTAATTGTAGAAATGAAAATAAATCAAAAACATGAAATGGGACCTTGTGTGTTATGGATTTCAACATAAATGCCTGATCTTGATCGTTTGTTAATGCAAATTAATCTAATCTTTATTTGATATCCCACACGGGAATCTTACCTGCAGTCAGGGGTTGCAGGAAGCTTTTAAGATATGGAAAGCTTTAGTGTTTTTAGATCCTTCCCAATGTGGTTAATGACCATCGAGGTATAAACAGAGATCATTTAAAATCAGTAAAATCCATGGTTTCCAGGGGGTTTCAGACCTAACAGGGGCTGAGCCGCCGCACCCTTTGAAAATACNATAATTATCTGACACAGAAGTTACCAGCTATGAATATCTAATTCAAAGACAATGCTTTCTGAGGGTACCATATTTAATAGAACATGCCACTAGATCCATTAACTTCTGGTTGCAGTCTCTTTGGCCTTTAAGCTGGAAAAGTTGTATTAAAGTTGAAAAAAAAAGAAAACAAGAAAACAAGAAAAGAAAAATAATCTTTTTATGTTTTCTAAAAAGTAAAAGTTTGAGTTTGACATTTGTTTCACTGAATAATGAAAACATTTGTGTCAACGCTGTAATATTTACACTAGCTTGGGAACCCAGCTTGGCCTGGAAACTAAAGTTTCTTCCCGTGTTGTTACCGAGTTCCCCAATCAAATTTTGAAGTAAAGGGTTCCTGAGTTATGATCAGACTTCCTAAAAAACCTGACAAACAGAAATTAATACTTTATATTTATCCAGGTATATACGTGTATATACAGGTATATACAGGTATATACAGGTATATATTCTATCTAAGTGTTGAATGCTGTGAACTATTATTGTTTGAGCTTAAGAAATGCGCCAGCTCACTTTTGAGAAACCACAATTGAACAAAAAAATAAGAAAGTGAACGACCCATTTAATTTTTTTTTTCAATCGTTCAAAAACATAGATTTCGTTTATTCCTAGTTTGTTCATTTTATTACTGAACAATTTCCATCTCTAGTTATATACAGTCTAGTTGTATACAGTCTAGTTGTATACAGTCTAGTTGTATACAGTCTAGTTGTATACAGTCTAGTTGTATACAGTCGTCTCTAAAATCTCATCCTTGTGGGGAACTCTGTAAGTAAAGTGTAAATAAAGTAATTATGTCTTAGTCACAAACTCAAAAAGTCTCATCCCTATATCTTTGCAACTTAATGGTGTAAACCTTTGATATTTTAAACTAAGATTGCCTGATCTAACAGAATTCATTGTTTGGAATATCTATGTGTTACTAGTTTGGGTTGCAAAAAAATTTGGATTAGAAAATTCATTTGTGTCGAAAAGCCTCAACTCCTAAAAATAAATTTTCTTATTCTAAAATCGCAACTATTTAGTTAAAGTCAATAGTTTAAAAAGTAGGAAAAGTCCCTTATTTAAATGGAGGATCACATGAAATTGTGTATACAGTCCCTTTAAGTCAATAATGTACAGAGTTTAAAATAGGAACAGTCCCTTCTTTAAATGGAGGATTACTTGAATGTGTATACATCCTCTTTATGTCAATGATGTTTAAAGTAGGACCAGTCCCCTATTTAAATGGAGGATCACATGAAATTGTGTATACGGTCTCTTTATGGCAATGATGTACAGAGTTTAAATTAGAAACAGTCCCTTCTTTAAATGGAGGATCACATGAAATTGTGTATACAGTCCCTTTATGGCAATGATGTACAGAGTTTAAATTAGAAACAGTCCCTTTTTTAAATGGAGGATCACATGAAATTGTGTATACAGTCCCTTTATGGCAATGATGTACAGAGTTTGAATTAGAAACAGTCCCTTCTTTAAATGGAGGATCACATGAAATTGTGTATACAGTCCCTTTAAGTCAATGATGTATAAAATGTATAGTAGTCTAGTAGCGGCCTAGTCCGAGTAAATTTTAAATCCGGAAGCAATAAGCATTATTCTTCTTTTTACAATATAGGCCATTATACCCTTGGTGCTGGAAACCTAGGATATATATTGCCAAAGCCTAACTAGGCTTTTATTTCTCTGCATTGAGTTATGGATATTTAGAAATATAGGCATATTTTTATTGTTAAAGGAAAAGTAACCGTAATTTCAAGTGACGCTCATGCAAAGATGGCAATGTATGATTCACAGCAGTATCCTCAAAAGCTCTCTCTGATGAAGTAATATGAATTAGATATTCATTTTTTTGTTTAATATTTAGTCTATTATCAAGTTTTACATATTTAAAGAGATTGTTCATATATTTTAAAATGCAAACTAACACAACTTATGAACACAACTAAGTCTTTCTTACTGCTGAAATTCATGATTAAAGGGACTGTGAGCGTAATCTCAAGATGACAATTTCTGATTCACAAGGGTACTTCTTGAAGTCTTTGTCTGACCAAGTATAAAATAAATTATATATCAATTTTTAGAATTTTAAAAACTAATAATTTTCCATTATGGGTTTTCCACAAAAGTGACTTTTGAATTTTTATTACAGGAGAACATATTGAACCCATCCANATTGGCAGTTTTCAAGAAGAGTCTGAAGTCAGTAGATTAACTCGTTGGGATGAGGGGAATGACAGGTAGAAAGTCCGCCAGAGAACTACATTCCTTGATTCATTATTATCGTGTTTATTTGTTCATATATTTCCTTTATTTCATATGGTAACAATATAGGAATTAACACTTTTGAAAATAGAAAAACTACAATACATTGTAGCATTGTGATCTTTGCATGGAGAGTCACTTGGAATAACGCTTACAGTCCCTTTAAAATCTTTGAATTTGTTAATTTGAATTCTGAATTAAAGGTTTAAATTAAGTTTGTTGCCAATCGATCAAAACCAATTAATTAAATTGGATTTCTGTAATGCCAGATCAACAATAAATTAATAAATTAAATTACTCAGCCTGGCATGAATTTAATATGATTCCAATTCTCTCTCTAAAAGGATTTCTTGTTTTTAGAAGTGCATAGTACATAGGTATAAAAATCAAAAGAGATTTTTTTTGGGTGATTTGTACACTAAAGGCCTAAACAATTTTGATATGAAAAATTTTAAAATAGGACTTTTTTCATCGTTGTGACTATTCCTTCCTTAAAACTGTTTTATTGAAAGCTTAATTTAAAGTAAATATCTGAATGGAGAGCGGAACCATGTCTGATTCACAACAGTACCGTTTAAATATTGTTTTTACCATAAAAATGCTTGTGTTTGTTAAGTACTTTGAATATGAGCTTTAAAAACAATTTTGTGAGAAAATAAGCATTTTCATTTCAATTTTAAAACAGAATATTTGGAATAATCAGTAAATACACACTTTCTAGCGATAAAATTTAGGATATTTCTGTCATTAAAACAAAAATTTTAGGTATCTTTAAACTGCTTAAACTTTTAATGAGTTCATTGGATAGCAGCACGTAGAAAATAAAATGATTAGGCATTCCCATATTTATTTTTATTAAATAATTGACTTTTTCATTTATTAAGATATTTCTAAATTTAAAGATGGCAATTGGAACTCTTGTAAAAAAAATTTTTTTTAGCAATAGGTTATTGAATCATCACACTAAATACTGAAAATAGGTTATTGAATCATCACACTAAATACTGAAAATAGGTTATTGAATCATCACACTAAATACTGAAAATAACTGATAATTTCCATCAATCTTGTCAATTTTCTCATCATAATATTTTTGTAAATTTATGTCATAGACCGGTCATATTTCATGAATTCTTAATTTTTCAAGTAACCAAAGCTTAAAAGATAAATATTTCAAATTGAGGTTTACGCCATCAGGTTGCAAATATTGAGGCTATTATTCAATTTACATGTTATCTAGGATTTCTCTTTCTTTAAAACCAATACAAGAGTATCAATGATAGAGATATCTGTCTGAAATTGATAAAATTCCAACCAAATTCCAGGACCCATTCTTTTCTTTTTTATCTAAATAGTTGCTTTCTTTCAGTATTTTCTACATAGACCCTAATTTGAACATAGATATTTCTATCTGAACCGTTAGTTAACATTCTCAATTATATTGTAGAATTGTTAAATATGAAAGGAACCACCCAAAAAGGGGGATCAATATTCTAGTAGTCATCAAGTCATGCACCAATAAAAGAACAAAGTAGTTGAACATTTATATTGAAAGTGAAACAAATACTAAACTAAACTAAACTAAACTAAAGGTTTTCCTCTTTTTGGCTGGATACCTCCTTTGGCTAGATACCTCCTTTAAGTATCCCCCCTAGTAACATATCCCCTCCAGTAACATATCTCCTCCGGCAATATATCTCACCCGGCAACATATCTCCTGTGCAACATGTTGTTTTCCCACAGCTCCGATCCAACCAAGCAGTTTCCATTCCTGTGGACTGACTGCTTCATAGGTTGTCCATCCTTCCACTGTGGGGAGTTGGCAAAAGTCTTCATCCTCTCCTTGTGAGAGCTGGTGCACAACTAAACTTATTCTTTTTTAGGTCTCCTTTTATATCCTGTGATCCTGTCTTATCAACACATCCTTATCGTGTTTGGCAAGCTAGAGTGTCTAGATAAGGCAGAGGAGGGGGGTCATAACACCTCTCCTCTGGGGGAAGCTTTTTGTACTTCTTCATTACCGACTCTGAGACTTTAACTCTATCAGGGCGCTGGGTTAGGGGATCCCTGGAATGGTCAACAGTGGCCCGCCTGTCACTAATAGGTGGGAGTCCGAAGGGAGGGAGGGAGGTCTGGGTTGCTTCCTGCAGGGAGAGGGTTTTCGTCGGCAATTTCACTATACCAGTAATTGTCCCTAGCGTCGTAGAATACACCAACCCTAGCCCCCATGGTACTCGCATATGACATAGACTCTTTAAAGGGGTTGCCCTTGAATCCGCAGATGAGATCCCTTAGTCTGTTCACTGCTGAAGTAAAGGCCCCCTCATTGTCAATGGAGAAGATAACGTCCTCGAGCACCTTTAGCGACCCATCCCAAAGCCCATGGATAGTTCAATCCGGTTTGATAGAGAGGCTTCGATATAAGTAAAGGCTTTAACTACTGTGTGATAAGACTTGATGTTCAGAGATTTTCTTCGTTGATCAGAAACCTTGGTCATTTGGGCCAGTTCCCCAGACTGGCCGCTTGTTCCCAGTGCGCTCAAGGACACGGAACCAGAAGCACTACCACAGAGTGGCTGGTCTGCTGGGTTGCCCGAGTCATTCGCTTTGTAGACACACTGGGGCTTATCTTAACCATACAGAGAAGGGAATCTTCATCCGCAACAGGAAGATGTATAGTGCGCTCAGCATAACCGCGGACGTGCATGATATATCCATACTAGTGAGAAAACTAAGACTCAACCACAGATTAATATCTCTTGCATACAATTGGACGACCGGCAGTGCTGCAGTTGGACATTTCATATCACAAATAGTCCTAGACGAGATCAACTTCAAGTCAGGTTGCATCCCCCATCATAACACGGCCCACGGGATAGTGGGTTGACAAGCCATTAGACATCAGCAGAGCAGTTTCAAAGGAAGAGAGATATATGGGCTGTAGGATACCCGGAGTCTACCCTGAGGAAGACACAAAACTGCCCAAATCGATGAAACAGGTTCTGGCTCTACTCAAGAACGACTATCACATTCACGAGGTACCAGGAGGCATGGACACGGGTGAGGACAGAAGGAGGGCAAAACTACTAGAGGGCCTGGAAGAGGTTTGCAAGGATGCAAATGGACTAGTGGATCTGTTTAAGGACTTGGGCACCTATGATGGGATCGTGCTCGACTTGTGTTACTTGTTTAATTATCTCCCCACCCCGGACAGGGACATAGTGACCATGCTCAAGGTGACTCAAGAAAAGATGATGGAATACAGGTCAACGAATCCCCAAGCAGAGAGGGATTTCATTGGGTTTTGCGAAATTTACGATCTCCTGGTTACAGCATCGAAAGAGCACTCTGCACCTAATTATGAATGCGCTGAGGGGAAGGAGGTTGAAGTGAGGACCGCAATCAAGCAGGCCATCAAGTATGGCCCTTGCAACCCTCCCGTGTCTCTGTGGGGGGCCGCCCGCCTCAAGAAGCACTTCCCTTTCGTCCACACGGCAAACAAGGCCTTTATACAAGCCAAGGACGTAACACAAGTACCTGCTAAGTACGATGAATATGTGAATCCTGGGTCCTCCATGTTTAGGAGAAACGTGTCTGCAAATGAGCTCCTGTTCAGCATGTTCCACGGTGACGACTGCGGGGGAGGAGTGAAAATGGAGAAATACAAGGAGTTGTTCGCGGCTGACATGGTAAAGTGAGATAATATCACAGATCTTGCCACCAAGGCTGAGAATACGAAGGATGCATTAACCTCGCATGAGACTCTTTCCTTGAATGAGCCTAGTCAACGAATGCTAAGCGAGATGTATTCTAGCAATCCTGTCCCGGCGAACCACTTGGTTAATATTGCAATGGGTGCCAGCAGGGCAGATATGGACCTGGCCTTCAGGATGTTCTTGTCCAAATCTTCCGAAGTAGCAGTGTTTCGGATCCGTATAATTTTGATGCGGATCCGGATCCGGATCCATGGATCCGCATCCGTGATGATGGATCCAGATCCTGACTCTGATAAGGATCTGGATCAGAGGTAACTTTTGATTCTGTGAATCGGATTTTCCCTATTAAATGTTATGCAAGGTTATAATTTATAAACTATATTTATTATATATTCCGAAATGTAACAAAAAAATATAGACTTTTTGGAGTAATCCTTTGGACAGGCCGATCAATCACTTCTTGAAGAGATAGTCCCTGTTAGCCTTGAGCAGGAGAAGGGTGTCCAACATGTCGGCCTTGATCATGTTCCGGAGGTCAGACTTCTGCAGCTTCAAGGCTGAGAATAGGCTCTCAACCAAAACATGGGTCGGGGGCATAGCCCTTAGGATCCTGGAGACCTCCTTTATTACAGTCAGATAGGCCTCAATTGGGTCCTTAAGCTTCTTCAGCTCCTTCCTGTCGGCCTTGATGGTATTTAGGGCAGCGACAACGTTTGCCCTCATCTTGTCTCTGGCTGTGGTCGACCCTGATCTGTACCTTGATGTAGATCTAAAAACAAGGAAATATTGTTTTAATAACTTTTAACTTTGGATCAAATTAAATAACAAAACAAAAAGATGAAACTAAAAACTTAAAAAGTTTAACTTATCCTTTCTTATAATTTATTTAAATATGGCTCCTTCTTGAATAATATGATGAAGAATAAAAATATATATTATTGAAAATACATGCTTTCCTTTTAATAGACAAATTTAATTAATTAAATATGTAATTGTCTGGTTACACTTGAAGAATACTGAATAATCATCATTCATTAATTCATATTTATCTAATATCTAAATCTTAATAAAGTATAAGTTAATGTCTAAAAATCTAAATTAAAATCAATATCTTTACCTCTCAGTCGGCGGTGGAGTTAACATCACCCTCTCCTTGTTGGGGTACCGCGCCTCCTTGGCCACGTTCCTCAGCTTAGCCACAATGCCCTTGATGCTCTTGTGCTTCAAGCCATCTCCGACGGCCAACTGGAGGGTGTGTGCGGCACAGCGCATATGCTCGCAGCATGGTGGGCAGGAAGCCTCAAGGTCGAGGTCGGAGGGCTGCACATCGTCGTCTTCATCTTCATCGTCTTCATCATCGTCTACATCAACATCTCCACTCCCTCCTTCAGCTTGGATATCAAGGTTGATTTGCTTAACAGTCCCAATCATGTTTTTTGCGTTGTCCGTCACGCACATGATGACGTTCTTGAGGGGAATCTTGTATTCATCAAGAACCTTCTGGATCATGACCTTGATGAACTTGCCCTTATGTTCGCATAAGGTGTCCATGACGGCCAAGGTCTTCGTTATGGACTGCTCATTGGACATGTATCTGACGTTCAGGCCCAGATAGTTCACCCGGATTCTGGTCAAGGCGTCAAACTTGAGGTAGACAAGCTTTCCCTTGAGGTTCTCCTTCATCGCAATCTTCATGGCCTTGGCGGCGTCAATGATGTACTTCCGGACCTGGTCTTAATCGAGGGACACCCAGGTAATACACATATATTTTTTTTTTTATAAATATTATATTATTAAATGAAATGGGTGTAAAATACAAATGTATTAATTAGAAAAGAAATATTTCAATTCCTCCCACTCCCCCCCCCCTAAAAATTGAAAGAAAAGTGTAAACAAACAAAAATTAAAGAAAGAAACAGTTTAAATTTAACTTACTGACAAAACAGCAAATTGAAGAGTTACCTATAGACTTAGAAATTAGAATAGTAAAAAAAATATTTAATTTCCTTGAGCTTCTCAGCCATTTCTCCTTTTAAACTTTTGAAAACCTCTGAACTGAAAAAGCGGAATGGGACAAAATGCTGCATGGCGAACTTGACAATCCCGAGCTTGAACGTGATGGCGGTCATCTTGACCACCACCGTGTCTGACTTGACAAACGCCGCCATGCGAGCTTGCTGGACACCTATTATTGAGATATTCATAATACTTTTCTTTAAAAAATTCTGTCCACGTGGGAATACACGTTAAAAGTGAGGACTATGGTATTTCTCATACCTGTTACCCTTACACCCCCATCTTCCTCCGCCTACCTCCTAAATTCCAATCTTATCCTACTTCACGAGCAGATATAGTGGAACTCAGAAACTGCTTTTCTGTGGAATCTTAATCAAAACTTTCTGAGAGAGATCATCATTGGTTTCATTGGGTGTTCCTTTCCTAGGGGGTACATCTAAATCACCTTGAACCTAGCCGAATGCAGTTAAGGCTAGGAGGTCTTTTAATTTCTTTCTAAATTACTGCAAGACACTGATACATGCAATGCAGCTGACAAAGGGAAGTTCTCATTACAACAATGTCAGCATTAAACCTGCATAGATGGCTGATATCAAAAAACAACTGAAATAAATACAGAAACTCAAGACCTGATATTGAAATACTAAAAATTGCCTGATCAGCATCTCAAAACTGCATATTAACCCTCCTGGGGGGGCGGGGGTATGCAGCTAATTGAACGAGCACAACAGGACAGCCAGGAAACAAGATGATTGGAAAAATGATTATCTGCATTCTGAATTAAATACATGTATCAAATAATTTGTTTCATAAAAAAAATTAAAAATAAATAAATTGATAAAGTTAAAAATAATACTTTTTTTCTTCAATAATTTAATTACTTAATTAAAAAGAATAACACAATCTTTCATCTATCAAGGGCATATTTAATTGCGTCATAATACTTTTTCTTTAATGTAATTTAAAAAAGTAACAAAATCTAAGGCATATTTCATCCCATCATCTGTGTAAAAGCATGTAAACAGTAAATAATTCATATAAATATATGTATGTATATATGTTTTTTTTTTAGTAATATGTATGCCTTGGGCTTCTTCGCTGCAATTGCATCTTTAGCTGCGGCCTCCTCCTTCTCTATCTTCACGAACTCTTTAGGATGATTCCTCCTTACATGCCGCTTAAGATTACCCAATCTTGATCCTAAAAAAAAATATTTTTTTTAAGCATTTTTCTATTACTCTTTAACTTCTAAATCTAAAGTTTGAAAAATAATAATATGTAAATGAGGTTTAATCTTTTATAAGTTAAATAATTAAAATATTCTTACTATAATGTTCAAATTTTGGTCGATCTCCTACCTTTGTCCCCTTCCTTTTCGGCCCCTTTGGTAATTATGTTGCCGCATATTTTCTTCTCTTCGCCGTCGTCCTTGTTAATGTTGATCTGGCAGACCCAGCTGTCCATCTCCTCCTTGAAGTACTCATAGACCCCTCCTAACTTCGCCTTTTTATATGGCGGCATTCTCTAATCTCGACTTATAATATGGTCTGAAATATGTATAAAGTACGGTAGTACCATAATGGGTGGTACTAAATACAATTTACATAAATTAAGATATATTTATATCAATATATTAATAATTAATATAGTCTAATTCAGCCCTAGCTTGTTCCGATCACGTTCATCTTTTAAAAATGAATACTTTATATATTTGAAATTTGCGCCATGTGAGCATTTGCCTCTGAGTAATCCTAAAGTTAAAAATGTTGTCATTACTATTTTATAAATGTAAACATTAAATTAATAAAGATAATTTGGAAAAATTTTCGTCATGTAAATAATACATTTACGAACCATTTTGATTTATTTATTCCATGGTTTTGGTTAATATTTGGCACTACCCGGATCCATATCAACGTTTCCTGATACGGATCCGGATCCGACCAAATGATACGGATCCAACCGGATCCGAAACGCTGGGAAGTAGGGTCATGTTTGTTCAATAGCATCGACATTAAGGGATGGAGCCCCGGGGTGTCTAGGCAATTCTTCTTGAATCATCACAATACAGTACTCGGGTATACGCAAGCGGACCACAACATCACTTTCGCGAAAGTCTAGGAGAACTTGAGATTTGTATGTAGACGAGATGGTCTAAATGTGGATATGGATATAGACGAAGGAATGGTCCAGGGATGGACCGGGAGATATGATTGCATCCTCCATAGCCATATCCTTCTCTACGTGACAGCCAAGCTGAGAAAGAAGGGAATACTGTCTGCAGGAGAGTGGTACAAGGGGAAGGTTATGATAGATGAAACACTCTTCTGCTTTTTCTTCTCGAGAAAATCAACCAAGATAGAGAAGGAATTAAAGTGTTCACTCATAGAAGAAGCTCTGACTGAAGCCTATGCAGAGCTCGGGCTCGTAATTGCGAAGGACAAGACAATCATTTCAACTCTGAACTTCACATTCCTGAATCGCTTCTTTTCGAAGGGGGCAGAGGTCGTCAAGCCAATCCGCACGATGATGAAAGTCTGCACTTCTTCAGACCGGATGATAGGTACCTTTCAGGGGCAGGTGCAAGACATCACGGGGTCCATTCGAGGTGCAATAGAGAAGGGTGCAGATCCCATGCTCATGTATGTGATGGCCCTGCGCCTCGCAATGAGTACACAGCCCTGCAATGGGATCCAAACATTGCCAAGAGTAACATCATATCAAATCATAGCTCCCTCTTACCTGGGCTGGTTGGGATTCCCAGCGTGCATGGACTTTATAACTAAAGAAAAGACAGATCCAATGCGCCCTGTGAACATGTTTATACAGAATCTTGCTGAGATAGATGAGAGCTCGGAATCCTTAGGCGAGATAAAGTCAGTGGTCGGCGCTCTTTATCTCGCACAGTTCCAGAACCCGAATGTGTATAGCTTTATGTCTAACCCCACGTTTCCAGCCTACCAGGGGGTAGACAACCCTACCTCTAGTCTGAGACGGATTTTGAGGAACATGGTGAAATGTGGGAACTTCTGCGAAGAGATGGTGAATGCTGCAATGGTTGACTCCAGCACGAAGGTGGCAGACACGATATGGGAGATGGTGAGAGCGTGCATGTGGGACCCGGCCGTCCTGGAGTCTGTAGGTACCATGAGGCCCTATGCCAGCCAGATGAAGCTGCTGGTTAAGTTAATGGAGTGTGAATCTTGCAGTAAGCTCATGAGCCCTCTCCATTTGGCTAGATGCAGGCGGTATACGAGAGTACATAGCAAAACGTCTGTGTCTTCCATCCTGAGTAGATGCAATGTAGATTACCCAGATAGAAGCGTCAGAAGAGTAATTTTGATTGCACGGACCAGGCCTCCATGTGAGCTCACCAGATTCGTACTGGAAACCTACTAAAGCTATTTAGGCGTAAGCATGGTAAATTTTGCTCTGCCTGATCCCATAGAAGTTGTGGTGAGGCCCAGAGAGGATGAGCATATACTGGTAGTTGCGAGGTACGAGCCGCCCTTGTCGACTGGGAATGATATTACTAATGTCTCTACAGGACACGCCTGGAGCAGCCCGAGCTTTACCTACAACGACATGCATACGGGAAGATCTCAAAAGGTCAGGGACGTGACCAAGGTGTCCAAAAGGAATCTTTGACGTGACAAATCCTGCCTACCGCAGCCTGCCTGTAGAATTGTTAAATATGAAAGGAACCACCCAAAAAGGGGGATCAATATTCTAGTAGTCATCATGTCATGCACCAATAAAAGAACAAAGTAGTTGAACATTTATATTGAAAGTGAAACAAATACTAAACTAAACTAAACTAAAGGTTTTCCTCTTTTTGGCTGGATACCTCCTTTGGCTAGATACCTACTTTGGCTAGATACCTCCTTTGGCTAGATACTTCCTTTAAGTATCCCCTCCAGTAACATATCCCCTCCAGTAACATATCTCCTCCGGCAATATATCTCTCCAGGCAACATATCTCCTTCAGCAACATGTTGTTTTCCCACGGCTCCGATCCAACCAAGCAGTTTCCATTCCTGTGGACTGACTGCTTCATAGGTTGTCCATCCTTCTACTGTGGGGAGTTGGCAAAAGTCTTCATCCTCTCCTTGTGAGAGCTGGTGCACAACCAAACTTATTCCTGTGATCCTGTCTTATCAACACATCCTTATCGTGTTTGGCAAGCTAGAGTATCTAGATAAGGCGGAGGATGGGGGTCTACCCAACCTCTTAGGATGAGGTAGGGGGTGGAGGTTACAATGTTAATGGAAGATATTCTATAAATTAGAATAAAACATTTAAATACATTAAAACATGTAAAAGAAATATTTTAAACATACAAAATTTTATTTTCTATTTTCTGTAAGTTTTCCAATTTTTAACCACAATAGTTGCCATCATTATATTAGAATTTAAGTTCTTTTTCCTCAACATAAACCGTTATTTCCAGTGGATTTTCTCTTTATTAAACAAAATCTTCAGTTTTTTTTAAAAATCCAGTTCATTATCAGAATTCTAGCAGAATTATTCAGTGAAATCAATGCAATAATTTGAGGTCAAACTTTGATGCTTAAGTGCGCTTATCTACTTCGCATAATCTTGGTTTCTCACATGACCATACATTCAGGGAATATGTTTCCAATTAAAAACTTTCTAAAAATCAATCAATCAAGAAAGGAAAAAATCTGGAAATTTTCAGTTTTACAATATTCGGAAAAATGGTGATTTAAAACAATTCAATTAAATGCTGAAACCAATTGTTTCATTATATTTCTGTAAAAAGTATACCAAGTAGGGAAGGGAAAAACATGGCATGGAAGGAAATTGTATGGAGTCCTTGAAGTGTGAATAAGGAAGTAAACAAACAATGCAATTATTGTACAAATCATTACATTAAAGACGACATTAGTTTTAATTTTTGATAAACAAATGGATAATGGAAACAAATGAACAAAAGAGAAGCTGTCAATTGACAGCTTCTCTTAGTTTACATGTAGACTTGAATCTTGAAAAAAACTTGTTTAAATTCAAGACTCAAATAAATATATGTCTTAGTTGTATTTTTACTAACGCCAACCACTGTATGATAAGGTCTGTTGTCTAGGAGTAAATGGTTTACTGGTGTATAAAAGAGGTTGTGCTTATTTACTCCTCAATTAGTGGGAAAATAGAAGGAAACAAGATGTTATTTCCAATCAGAGGAATAGTCAGAGATATAATATACAAAAGATTAGTTATATCAGTCAAAACTAATTTAGAGTCACATGAGTTACAACAAAGATGATCTCAATTGGTTCAGCCGTTTAGACATTTACTATACACACTCTAAGAAATTTCAAAGTTTCATCTATCAAAATTTGATGGAGCACCACCATCAAATTTATTGTACCAAACTTGTCAAATTTAAATGAATGTATTTTCAGTTGCCTTAACTCAAGATTTAATACATGATCTATGTAGGTTTGATAATCGTTTTTGTAAACAATCATTAACCGATCGTTTTTTGTTTCGTTTTCAAAACGATCATTTCATTTTCGGTTTTTAAAAACGATTGTAAGAAAACGAATAACGATCGTTTTTGAAAACAATCATTATTATTAAATCGATTTGCAACCGTTTTATATACAATTGTTTAAAAAAACTATCGTTTTTGAAAAAAAACTTTTATTGACAATTATGTTAACGATCGTTAACAAAGGGTTGTCGTTACCAATTGTTAACAAAACGACAAACTTTATAAAAACGGTCGTTTTTGGAAAATAAATTTCATGCAACTTTATTGAATGTCGTCTTACATGAAGTTTAACAGTTGTGAGGGAGTTAAAACTACTTGATATTTTCTTAAAAATTACTCAATGATAAGTACAGATGCCCTTCAGGTCGTTAATGAAAGGGTCATTGTTAACTATCGTTAACAAAGGGTTTTCGTTAACGATCGTTAAAATGATTGTTGTGGAGACCCTGGATTACCAGCTGACTGCCGGAAACTCTGAAGACCAAACCAAACATATTTATTCAATATAGTTTTTCTCATGTTGTAAGTTAGACAAAATATATACAGTTAGTCTCATTTATATCTTTGTTATTTTGCGTCACTACATTTTGGTGACCCCGATGTGATTTTCGTCGCTGTTGAAGTTAAGCAGTCTCTCTCGCTGACGTA